CTTTTTTCTTTTTCTCTTTTTTCTCTTTTTTCTTTTCCCTTCTTCTTCGACCGATTGCCTGCCCCGGTGACAGTCGGCGAGCAGCCTCGGGCGAGTTCGAGCTCACCGGCCTGGCAAGGCCTTGGCCTCACCAATCTGGCGAGCTCCAATTTCGTCGGTCAACGAAGAAGAAAAAAAAATAAAGAAAAGAAAAAAGAAAAAAATTAAATATTTGATTTTTAAAAAAATAGATGAAAAATAAAAATTATCAAAATGAGTGCACAGAGGAAAATCAAATCAGATTTTCCTTACAAAATGGCAGAAAATATTTTTTAATTAATTTTCAAATTTCGGCCAAACTCCGAAAAATATTGTTATTTTCTTAGAAAATGACTTCCTAAAAAATATTTTTTAGAAAGGTCACATTTTTCGCATAGCAAACGGAACGTCAATTTTTAAAAAAATTATAAAAATTAGTGTTTTAACAATATAATATTTTTTTAAATCATAAGAAACAAGTTTTCCTAAACTGGGTTAAATATGCAAGTATTTTAGCAATATGGGTCGGGCCTGGTATGGATTGGGTATGGATCGAGTTGGATATAGGTCAAGAAATTTACATTAGGAATAAATGATTCATGAACAGGATAATGGGTCAATTTCCCAACCCAAACCCAACCCAACCAAACCCATCCATTTAACAAGTCTAGCAAGCTCCGAACAAAAAAAAAGAAAACAAGTCTAGCAAGCTTTAACACGACTTTTTAGGCCAAACAATTAGGCATTTTCAAAGATGGGTCAGGCCTGAGTCATTTAGGAACCATCATATGGCTATGTTTAGTCGCCAAGATAAGGATTGGGATATGACAAGATAAAGTGGGATTCCTGATAGTAACTATTAGTATATTTAGTCCTATTATGTGTTTGGTACTTTTCTAGATAAGATCGGAAAATTAATTAATTAATTAAATTGAAAAATAGAAAATTAAATTGAATTAAAAAGTTGAAAAGGAAAAACACTAGATTTGGGGATTGTGGCTGCCGCCGCCTGAACGGTGGCCGCGATTAAAGAAGGCGACCACCAAAGTCGCCTCTGCACGGCAACGCAAATCCAAGACCAAACATGGAGGGGGCAGGGGAATTTCCGATGACCACCAGCGTCCCTTAGAGTGATTGAGCTCTGAGTTGACTGCGATGCCGAAGATCTCCAACCTCTCCATCACCATTTTCACCTCTGCGTCCTTCGCCAGGATTCCCACATCACGGGTCGCCGTTGCTGGGAACCAACAAGTCCTCACATGACATTCGATGATTGATTTTCGCTCTTTTGGCCTTTGGCAACCCATCTTGAGTATTCTTGAGGTCAGATCATCAAAAGATTTCCCAAGCCCTCACGAATCACGCATAGCTTCATTGGAAGAGAACAGGGAAAAGTACCAAAAAATTATATACCTATTGCATTTGTACCAATTCAGTCATAAACTTTCCAGTTTGATCAATTTAGTCATAAATCTTTTCGCATTGGTACCAATTCAGTCCATCCGGCCAATTTAAGCCGGAAATCTCTAACGTGGATGCTGGCGATCCTACATGGCACGCCGACATTGATGCTGGCGATCCTGAACAAATTTTAACAAAGTCGCCGGCTGACCATCGCCGGTCACAGGCTAGTCTAGGCGAGGGCTTCCGCCAACAGTGTACAAAAAAAGAAAAAAGAGAAAAAAAGAAAAAAATTATTTAAAAAATCTGAAAAAAAATATTGAAAATTATAAATTTTGTCAACGTCGGCGTCAGCGTGCCACGTATGACCGCAGGCATCCACGTCAATGATTTCCGGCCTAAATTGACCGGATGGACTGAATTGATACCAATGCGAAAATGTTTAGGACTAAATTAGTTCAATTGAAAAGTTTGTGACTGAATTTATATCAATGTAATAGATTTATGACTTTTTTTGATACTTTTCCCAAAGAGAACATTGTTGGCTTCTACTTGTTTGTACGCTTTGGCTAATATGCTTTGGCTAAAATGGTTGAGCAAGCAACAGCTTGTTTTTCTTATATCCTTAAGTTACTCATTTAGTTTTTTTATCCAATTCGAATTTATCCCGCCTCCTATCCATTTTATTCAGACATATCCAAATTATCTGGTCCAAAGGATGTCTCAAATACCAAATAAGAATTTGATGATCCTATCCTGACTCAAATCCGGATTACTAAACACATATAATCATTACTTTCAGCAAATATTTGGACAAAAGCAGTTAGATGGGATTTGTCGAGTTTATATCGAGAACACGCTAGATTCAATCATCCATAATTTCGAGATGCAAGCACTTGATCCATGTAATTTTTCTTTCTTTTGTTGAGAAATATCACATTGATTGTGGAGGTGGAATGGGAAAAGTGTAAAAAAAGTCATAAACTTATTGCATTTGTGTCAATTTAGTCTTAAACCTTTTTTTGTGTCAATTTAGTCCTAAACATTTTGTCTGTGCTAATTTTGGTCCTTCCGACTAATTTTGATCGGATTTTGCTGACGTTGACGCCACCGGTGCCACGTAGACCCGCTGGTGATAACGTGGATAATTTTTAATAATATTTTAATATTTTATCGATTTTATTATTATTTTTCTGATTTTTTTTCCTTTTCTTTTTTGGTTTTCTTCCTCCCATGGCCGGCCACCGACCATGGCTGGGCGGGCTGCCCCTGCCCGACCAGGCAACGTCCGGCACGGCTTGGGTGAGCCCCAGCGAGGGCTCCCCTCGCCAGATCTAGCGAGGGAACCACCGTCAGGGCTCACCCTCGCCCAGGCGAGGGTCGGCCTTGCCCAGGCCAGATTTGGCGGGGCCGGCCCTCGCCCAGGCCACGACGGCCTCGCTAGATCTGGCCTGGACGAGGCCGAACCTCATCGAGATGCCCTCACCCAGGCAAGGGTCGGTCGGGCCTTGCCTGTGGCGGGCGACGCTGGCCTTGCCCAGGCAAGGCCAGCCTAACCCGCCATGGTCAGGGTGACCGGTCACTGGAAAAAGGTAGAAGAAAGAAAAAGAAAAAGAAAAGAAGGAAAAAAGAAAAAAGAAATCAAAAAATATAAAAATATAAAAATTATCTACGTCGGCATCGGCAGCACCACGTAGGCTGGCCGGCGTCCACGTCACCAGAATTTGGTCAAAATTAGCCAGAATGATTGAATTGGCACGAAGGCAAAAGTTTAAAACTCAATTAGTACAAAAAATATTTTTGACTAAATTGACACAAATACAATAGGTTTAGAACTTTTTCAACACTTTTCCCGAGGTGGAACTGCTGTTTACTATCCCGTAATTTTAAGAGCTGTGGTAGGAAAAAAGAAGGAAAGAGTAATGCTAAGTTTATTAAATCAAGTTTACAAAATCAACATATTAAGTGCTACGATTAACTAGAGCAATAAGGGGCATTCGTTCTTGTACGCCAATTTTGTAAATCAAGCACAATGCACCTAGCATGATCAAGAATCAATCTTAAGTCGACGCAGGCAAATAAATTTGCAATTTCATATGGGCATTATATCAACACATTCACTGAGCGTATATTGTAGTTCAGACAATATATCGCAATAGGGGCGAACCAAGCGATTGCGCGAAGAAGGAAGCAAATCAATCATAACGCAGACAGGGTGAGGCAAAAGATAGATTTTCGAGCCGGCAAGCAGCAAGTAACAACTGCTGAAAAAGCCGATTCACCTCTATTGAAAACTAATAAGGCTGCGCATGGCAACCATTCTGTGCCCGGAAATAGATTCTGGTAAAAAATGATTTTTTTTATTATGTGCCCGGGAACTGATTCTGAGCATTTGAAGGCGTTTGGTAACGGCCCAAAATTTATATTCCTGAAATAGTAAAAGAACAGAAATGCGTTTGGTAATGACATAATTTTTTTTTATTAATAATATTTTAATAACATTTTAAATATTTTAATATTTCTTTGTTTTCTTTTTTTCTTCTCCTCCTTTTTGGCCATGGCCGATAAATTTTTTTTTAATTAATAATACTTTTATTAAAAATAATTTTTTTATTTTTTTTGGCCATGGCCGATAAAAAATTTTCTTATAAATAATTTTTTTAAAAATATTTTACTAAAAAATATTTTTATTGAAAATATTTTTTTCTTTTTTTTTCGCCATGGCCTGATCGCTGGCTAGGGCCGATAAAATATTTTTTTTTATAAATGTTTTTTATTAATAATATTAATAATATTTTAATATAAAAAATTTTATTGAAATTATTTTTTTTATTTTTTTTTGCCATGGCCTGGTCGCTGGCCATGGCCGGTAAAATATTTTTTTATAAATATTTTTTTATTAATAATATTTTAACAAAAAATATTTTTATTGAAAATATTTTTTTTATTTTTTTCGCCATGGCCTGGTTGCTGGCCAGGGCCGGTAAATTTTTTTTTATTAATAATATTTTTTTATTTTTTTCGCCATGGCCTGGTCGCTGGCCATTGGCCGGTAAAATTTTTTTATTAATAATATTTTTTTATTAAAATATTTTATTCTCGCCAGATACGGCGAGGGTGGCCCTCGCGCCGGACATTAGAAGCTATATTAAAAACCAAGAAAAAGAAGAAGACAAAAAAAACCGATTCTCATTTTTGTTCCCAGAATCAAGAAGCTACTTTTTTTTTATTCTTGATTCTGCTCCAAAACTGATTCTGGGCACAAATTTGCAAGAATTTGTGCCCAGAATCAAAAAATTAAACAAACGGATTTCTATTCCCAAACTGATTCTAGGAACAAAATAACAGAATCAAACACTATTTGACAAGTTGCCATGCGCAGCCTAAGTGATTCTTTTCTTCTTACTTGCATCGCTGATCATATAAATTATTGGGATGAGCACTTCTTTCATATACATTTCATCGACGAAATGTCCGGAAGAAAAAGTGAATTCTGTATTTGAGGATCAAGAAATTTGGATGCTGTGTATCAAGATGCTTTCTGGCACATAAGCGAATTCTGTGTTCTGCTCTATATCCTCTTTCTCCTTTTGCTTAAAAACCTCAGAAGGTATTCTCCAGCGTCTCTAAATTGTACAGGTTCTTACATTATTTGAATGAATTGATAAATCGGATGAATGGCTGCAAGAGTATTGCAAAATATATCTCATCTTTTTCCCTATGCTATGCTGTTGACCCTTTTGGGTGACGAATGCAACGCCTAGTTCCTGTATATCTCCTTATTGCCTACTCCTTCTGAGAACAATCAATGTATGAAAAGAGTGTCATATCTCTTCTGTGACATGAACTTGTTCGAGTCCTGCGTGTCTGAAACATACCATTTAACTTAGGGTAGCAAATATGTAGATGCTAGTCCAATTCCAAATATGACGCTACCAAAGTACTTCGTATATGTAGGATTGTTACCCGAGACTGGGATTAGATTATGGCACGTCTTGTCGCAGGGATATGGACAATCGATCTCCTTGCTTACCCTCCTGCTGTAGTACCAGTCGCCGACTGCTTCAGATATAGTCTGGAATGGCATCAATGCATATTAAACTCAAATGAAAGGAATGTGAACTAAATAAAGTGCATGTAGCCAAAAAGGACATAGAAATGCTGCAAAATAGCAACAAATTGACGATTAAAAGTAACTTTCGTTGAAGTGAATCTCCGGGAACTAGCAAACTGTGTGTAATGATCAAACGTTAGGAATTTTTATGGACAGTTCATTTTACTTATGGAACGTTTGTGACATGAGCAAGGATGGTTTGAGGGTCATTGTTATAAAAAATTGGGAAAAGTGCATTAGAAGTATTAAAACTTATCAGGAAAATGCAATTTTTTTTTGTTGGTAAGGAATCAGGAAAATGCAATTGAGTCCTAAAACTTTCAAAAAATGCTATTAAGTCCTAAAACTTGTCACAAAAGTACAATCAAATCCTAAAACTTTTAAAAAAGTGTAATCAAGTCCTAAAACTTATTACAAAGATGCAATCAAGTCCTAAAACTTTCAAAAAGTGCAATCGATGGAAGGACTTGATTGAACCAATTTGACAAGTTTGAGGACTTGTTTACACTTTCGTGTGACAAGTTTTAGGACTTGTTTGCACTTTTTGAAAGTTTTAGGACTCAATTGCACTTTCTTAACAAGTTTTAGGACTTAATTGCACATTATGAAAGATTTAGGACTCAATTGCACTTTCGTGATCAGTTTTAAGATTTTGAATGCACTTATCCCTAAAAAATTTGAATTTGCCCCTCCTTAAAGCCACTGCACCAAGACCTGACGAAAACTTTTAAGCTCAAGGTGTCCAAGTTCAGGGAGGAAATCATATTCAACATATATAGAAAAGGCTTGGTTCTATCTCACAACAATTGTTCAACCTAATCTTGCATTTTTACTTTCAGTCAGCTTTCATGGCACTGGATCCTTTGTCATCTTGAATTTATTGACAATGTTATCTCACAAGTTCTATGATGGAAATTTCTCTTCTTCCTATTGCATGACGGTGCAAAGCATTTCATCAACCTAATCTTTCTCACCTATTGCTAATTTCCAGGCCAAAGCAATAGATTAACCACTTATTACATATTTAACTGACACCCTGACGAAGCAGATAAAGATCAAATACCTTGTTATTTACTTTTGGGGAGTCAACAGCAAGCCACGTTTCTTGTGACTCACTCTGGCAGTGGGCAAAACAAGAATTAATGAATAGGCCTCCTCTCCCTGAGTATTGATAGAACATTCTTAAAGCGGCAAGCATGTCGTTCCTGAAACCTAAAAGGTTATAAAGTCAGTAAACTATCCATGTCAAACGTCTTAAAGAAAATTTTACTACATGCAGTAAAATGAAATCAATTGGTTGTGTTAGAGCATTTGAGGATGCTTGGTGAGATGTTTGTTCAGTCTTATTTCAGCCATTAAGTGTAAATCTTTTGTTTGGTAGAAGAAATAAGTTAAGGAGAAGCCGAAGCATGAAAACTATAGTTTAGCAAAGTGAAAGCGATACGATCAATCACCTTGCAATATCTCTAACTGACTGTCAGAGCAAGCAGCTGGATTAAGTTTGCAGCGATTCCAATGACCATGCACATCAGCAGAGGGAGGGACCAATATGTGATGGAACTGTTCAATTACGAAGTGGAGCCATTTGAAGTAATAGCCTCTGAAAAGTTTCGGTTTCTAGCATAGCAGAAACTTACCTGGTAGACATCATAAGCCGAGTTCAAGATGAAAAAGGGAGTGGTGATGTACTTCAATGTATATTGTGGGAAGAAGCACTGCAAGAGGATGAGGTAAAAGTTATGGGCATGACATATCAAAGTTTTGAGTTGAAGTAGTCAGCAGTGAATAAACCATACCAGAGTTGGGTAAACGAGAGAGCTAGTGCAGCTCTTATCGAGATTCTTTTCGACCCCCTGCGTGGTTGAGAAACTGTGATTATCTATGCCCATCCTCCTGCTTATAGCGTCATATCTTATCTAACTTCCAGCAATTGTTCCTGCGCTTATTTTTGCCTAAATAGTTCATATGTTTAAATTGACAACATGACTTTGAAAATTGAAAATGCCCAAAATTTTCATCTATTCACGTTGTGAACAAAAGGGACATTTTGGCCCTTAGCAATTTATAATTTACTCCATGGAACCCAAGAAGGAAGACAAGGACCAGCTATAAACCTAGAACAACCAGAAAATATTCCATTTTATCCAATATATAGATTGGATGAACAATCTAGTCAAAAGTAATTAGGACAGCCAATTTTTTAGATTTTATATAATTTTGGACCAGATTATTCATAATCTGAGTGAAATCACAGAAACTTTACCTGTAGAGAAATGAGATCATCGTAAAAGGACCTCATAGTGTGGTTCAAACTTATGTCCCTTCTGCAAAATAGAGATCAACAAGCATAAATTCAGTGTGAAAAACACGTACCCAGAGCTGAGTTTTAACAGCACGTACTCATCAAGAAAGAATCCTGCATCACTCAAGCATTTCACACTAGCATTCCTTGGTAAGTACTCTGCAAAATTATCACAGTGCAAGAAGGATGCTAAACCACCAGCAGAGCAACCTGAGAGCAAAGCCTAGAGACAACTGATTCAATGAGAATGGCTCAAATAGGTTCATGGTGCCACATGACAATGTAAAGATATCTGATGTGAAACCAATATCAATTAGTTCAAGAGGGATGGATACCTTCTGTGCACGTCCCAACCCTTTGGGTATAAGATCAAGGATGATTGCTTGCCAAATTTTTTGCCCTCTGAAATATAGCAATGAAGTCTGCAACATTGAAGGATTAGTCAATCCCCAATGGGTTGGGACGTAATCATCTAGCTTACTTCTCTAAATGAGAAGCGGCTCAGTAGTTGTGCGTTACGCATTTGCAAATATTATCTGTGGGCCTGTGGTCTGTGTTGCCTCTTGATGGCAATTCGGTGCTTTAAACAAAGATAATTATTATTATGAGAGCTAGTACTGCTGTTAACTACTGAGTCTGCAAGGCTCTTCCTATGGGTATTTAGATGCACAAAAATCCGCTTCCCTGCTTTGAATTGGCATCCAGGAATCAGGTGACTGACATTATCCCAATTAAAGCCCGATGGAAGATACATCTGCAAAAGATGGGGATTTACATAAAGTTTTTATTTCCACCAGTATAAACAATGAGCCTCCTGGTGTTTGTTTTTCTCTCCTTTTCTATAACTTTATCTAAGCCTTTTTGGTATTTCCATATCCCTTCGCTTAAACAACTCTCCTCCCCCTTAGACTAGGGAGAACTATAAATACGACATGTTTTCTGCTTCCAAAAATTTGCTTCTTCCAATTCTTCTTTCTAGTGGATATTATGGAAGAGTGCAGAGAAATCCCATTTAAGAATTGATTTGGCAATACTGTGCGGGTGTGCTCGATAGAATACTCTCTCATATAACTTCACCAGTAATTTCATCCGTTGATATCTCGGGATGTACATTTTTGTAGCATATTCTCTCATAAAGTTTTCTGACCTTTGAGGGACCGGAGATGGAAGACAAAAATTGAGGCAACTACAGCTAATCGCGACAAACATTTCTGCCTCAACACACGTGACTCTTTTCCTCGCCACGAACACACAGGATGTTGGACCCTGTGAATTTAGTGCTGAGTAAGAGGACGAGTAAGGGACTTACCCCATTGTCAAACTTTGCATCACCAGCAAAGGAAGCTCCATCGCAATACCTGAGCTTCACACGGTTCCAATTGTAAAAATCTGTTTCAACTTCAAGTTACTAAATAAATATTTAAACTAAAACGAGCAAGGGATCCTCAATGCATGCATAAAATAAAGCACACTGCAATAGGCATATATAAAATAAATCTTCACATTCCCATCCGGCATCTACGAACGAATTCTCTGTTTCCTTCTTAACAAGAGAGCGACCATATCTCCTTAACTGTCTCTTTTAAAACAAGCAGCTGACGCTCGAGGCCAACATGTATTATACATGTACAAAATCCTCCAACAGTGGTCAGAGGAGACCTCTCACAAATAATGCAATATCACAATCCGAGGAACGACTAATGCTAGGCAAATCAGGACTAATTAACAAAATTTGTGCGTAATGTGAATTAGCAAACTCTTACAATGTCTATTTACGAATTTGTCACGTTATTCAATAATGAATTTTGACGCTCGTTACTCGTTAAAAATATAAAAATTACCCTTCAGTAATTGCTTCGGAAATATTAATGTTCTCATAATATAGCTAGTATTATAGCAATATGTATATTTTAATTTCAAACCGTTTCAATGAGCATTCTTAGATACTTCCATTTACTTGAGTACCGCCTTGACGAAACTTATTAATAACACTTACCGAATAGATTAAAAAAAAAAACAAATAAAACCACATCTTAATCTTCATAATCTCCCTTCATCGAGCAACTATAGATTAGTCTCTTCTTTATTGGATGGAGTGGAACCCGAAACATTTTGCGAAATAGCGGTACTCTACTCAAGGCGAATCTCATCCAAAAACAAGTTTTATACAGTGTTTTACTGTACTTGTTTTTATCCATCGCATCGTTCTAAAATGAATCTACCACAATTTATCTCCATCCTTGCACGGAAAATTTTTTGCCATTAATCACTCATTAGTCCAAAAAAAAGGTGAAAACTTACTTATCAATTCATTCAACCATTGCTGCGGTGAACAGTGTACAAACAACTCTTGCTTTCGCGAGCTATTTCCATTGTAGGTCCCATGTATATCCATACTCTATCCTATTGCATTTATTGACTTATGCTATTGCTACGTAAGATCCTATCCTGGATGTGTTGTACCCCCAGAACGGGATTGGAGTCACTCACGTCGGAACAGACGGTGCATTATAGCAACGCAAGACATGCTTAAATTACGATATTAAGGTGGCTATATCGTCGAAAAATTTAGAAAAAGACCGCGACTTGAAAGCTTACCCTCTTACAAAAACGTCTTCCAAGGCATATTGATACGGCATCCTTGAGAAATGTACTCATATCTAGCAAATTGAATTTTGATGCAAAAAGAATCCTAGCATGCCATAAAGATGCTTAAATCGTGTATTCGTCCGGTTTCTACACCAAGTTTGCAATGACGTAATTTGATTAAAGAAATGCACCACCCCAATGGGCAGCATTGTCAATGAAAATCCCCGAAAACAAAAGGACAAATGAAAATCATACAGAACGCCTTGTAGCCATTGGCCAGAGGCTGGAACTAGGAAGGTCAAGCTGGAATCGCCCTATGCAGACGGGCTTCGTCTGTTCAGTTCTATTATTGATCCCGTGAAAGGGACAACAGAGGATGTAAAGAACATGGACGTGTCCTGAGACTTTTATCTTTGATTGCCAAATACTGCTACATAAACTAGTCATATTCAATTGTTATTAAGAGCCAGTGACATCAGTGGGTACATCAACTTTTTTGTAATGGAATCTTCGTACACTTAGCACTGTTTTTACCCAACCTACCCAAGTCTCCATAAAAGTGTCAAAAAAGTCCTAAATTTTTTGCATTGGTGCCAATTTAATCCTAAACTTTTTTTTGGTATCAATTCAGTCCTAAACCTTTTGCATTGGTGCCAATTGAGTCCTAAACCTTTTTTTGGTGCAAATTCAGTCCTAAACTTTTGCATTGATGCCAATTTAGTCCTAAACTTTTTTTTTGTGCCAATTCAGTCCTAAACCTTTTACATTTGTACCAATTCAGTTCTTCGACATGTGAATAACTATTAGCTGGAAGGACTGATTTGGCACCAATGCAAAAGGTTTAGGACTGAATTTGCACAAATACAAAAGGTTTATGACTGAATTAACACCAAAAAAAGGTTTAGGACTAAATTGACACCAATGCAAAAGGTTTAGGACTGAATTGACAAAAAAAAAAAGATTTAGGACTAAATTGGCACCAATGCAAAATGTTTAGAACTTTTTTGACACTTTTCTCCCCAAGTCTCTCTCTTCTTTGACAAATAGCTAGAAATTAGGTATATGTGAGTTCTTGGGCAAGACAGTGACGAACGATTTCAAACTTTCAGTCTCATGAAACAGAAGACAGGGTATGTGGGCGGCCAGATGGGATTATCACGTGAAAGGAAGACACAGGCGGATAAAGAAAGAAGAAAACCGCATGAACATTACTAAATTGGCATATCATGTGCTTGCGGAGGACATTCTCGATTTGAAGTCTAAATTGGGGTGAGCTTGTATCCGGAGATCTGCAGTTTATAGCTTAAAAGAAGTCGGAGATCTAGAAGGCCAAATCTAATCCAGGGTGTTGATTCTTTTAACTTTAAAGATCACCCTGCAGGGTCAACTATTGGTTTTAGTATTTGTATCCATAAATTAAGTTAAAATTTAGGTTTAAAGTAACAAGCAATCCTAGGCGGATTACCTATGAGAAAATGCATACTAAGCGACTTGAGCTCTCGGCTTCAGATAATAAAGATCATGTTAACATGAGGCTGAGAGATGCTTTATATGTGTATTTATATGAAAAAAAGATCGATTTTCTACGTACTTATTATCTATATGAAAAGAAAAGTTAACACAATGAAATTTATAAATCTCTCCTCATCTAGTCGCTTAACAAGTGCAATAATAGTTACTAACCAGGATTAAGAGAGGCATTGTTACTGAGTATTCCCGAAAAAACTTCCAATTTGGTCATGTAACGGGTAGATCCCCGGCGAGTGTTGGCTCTCTCCAAGCACGATGGAATATCATTGCACCACCCACCTCCCTATCAAGAAATTCAAAGCAATTTCACTACAAATTATTGCTTGAAGTAGAATTCGCCAACTTAATTATGTATTAAACAAGATTTATGTTAACATCATATGTGCAGGGAAACTTTCTTTTATTCAAAAGCATGAAGACGTGAATAATGGAAATTAGGTAGAGACAATAGCATTGAGTTTTACCCGGGCGACCACGGTCCGGTCCCACCTCACCATCCTACTGGACTCAAAGAGATTTTACCCAACCAAGTATACTTAAATGACGATTGATAAGGAGCCCATTATGATATGGGAAATCTTCTTAGACTCGATTGAAGCTGGATTGAGTAATTTGAGGCTTTGAGCAGTCAGCCATTAGATTCGATTAGCTTCATGTAAGGCTCACGTATGCAATGACTAGACGACTCAATTCATTACGGACAAAGTTCAAAAAAGAAATTCACTCATAATATACCTTTAAAAAATCACCCGTAGATTCGATAAGTTGCATATAAACAAAATGTTTCGCCATTCACTCATTTTCATTAAGTTCTTGCACGAAATTAAGATACTCGAACAAGAGCATTAACAAAATGTTTCGCCAAATTATCGACCAATGGCAATGGTGATATAGAATGAACCGAGCTCCCCTCTAGATCCTACCCGTTCCGATGTCTAAACTAAAACACCGCAGTGGCTAAACCTAACTCCAGAAACTAAACCATCCTAATCTTTTGCTTCATGTGAAGATCAGATGTGAAATAAAGTGTTTGGCTCATGCTAATAATCACCGCTCAATTATGGACGCCCGCACCGGGACTCTCTCTCTCTGCAAAAAAGTGCACTCGGAAAAGCTGCCGCGCCGCTGACAGCGCGCACAGGACACAAGACGAGACGAAAAAAGCCACCACGAAACTACACCGTTTTTGGTTTCCCCAACCATCCCATGATCCGTAAAGCCACCCCAAAAGCAGAAGCAGTCGCCGACTCGACCTCGCTTTTGGACCCGAGCTCTCACGTCTCGGGTACAAGGAGCTGACAAAAGGCACGGAGACGTGACGATGCAGCCATGTGAGAGTTTCAGTTCACTGCTCAGATCATCGATCTTTTAGCCAAATTTGTTCGTTCATGTCTCGTGAAGTTAATATCTAGATTCAGCAGCTAGTGTTTAGTGGAATTGACTTACCTCGAACTGTAATAGCCAGTTGTTCGCTCCGGCGCCGAATCCTCTGTGGAGATGATAAGCGGGCAAGCTCCCGTCCAAACAAACTGCCATTCGGAGTGAGCACCAACCAAATCAACACAACAGAAAACTGGCAAACTCCCTATCGGAAGGCACCGGAATCGATCCACGAGTCGTGAACCTTCGATTCAATTTGCTTTCGAGGAATCGTACTTACGGGCTCCAATGGCGGAGGCGTGGGGGACGAGAGTCATGCCCACCAGAAGCCGATCCTCCGAGGCGGAGCGAACGCCCCATGGCGCGACGCCCAGGAGGACCACCACGAGAGCCATCGCTGTCGCCATCTTCGTCCTCATCTCAAAATGCTCTCGCTGATGCGGGAGAGAGAGAGGGGATGTGTTTACAGCGAACTCGCAATGAATGCGTCGTTGTCGTCTACTCGGAGCCGAACGACCATGACAAGGAAAGAAACAGAGAGGGAGCGCAAGCGAGTTGGAGGGAAGACAATTGTGAGAATCCTATCCTAAACGGCGTGGACGCGGCAAATATCACTCAATGCTTCGGCGCAGTTTTGGCGCCTTTTTCTCTATCTGGACTATACGCAGATTGGCGCCTCGATTATCGAAAAGGAAACAGACGGGAGAACGGAAATTATGCAGTCCGGGGAGGAAAAGCGAAGCCAGTTATTTGCTTGCTTTTAAGGAGAGGAACCTTTTTTTGACCCGTTCCTTCTCCAGTGGAAAGCGAGATCAGAACACGACCGGGAGCCGAAGCGGTAATCGCGTCTGGCGATTCATGCGTGACGATTACAGCGGCGGGAGAACGAAGCCGTCTCCGACGAAAAGAAAGCTGGAAGAACGGAGGGGCGAGAGAGACGTCGGCGACGGCTCCCCGGCGGAGCGCTCTTCGGCGAAGCCGCGTCGACTTCGATCCGAAGGCGAAGGAGATGAAGCAGAGGAAATGCGGAGGGAGAGAGAGAGGCAGGAACGGAAGGAGGGAGGTAGAGATCAGAGAGAGAGAGAGAGAGAGAGAGAGAGAGAGAGAGATTTTGGCGGTGAGTTGGAACCGAAACGAGAGGGCGGCACCCACCAATCAGGAGGCGCGAGTCCTTCTGTGGCCGTATTCGGTTGACGTGATAATTGGTGCTTGTCGTATACTGGAAGCGAAGTCTAAAGTAAGTCCCCCTTCCTTACGGAGAGCATCATCGCCCCCGCTCCCGTCCCGGCCCACCGACCCCCGGTTCACGCCGAGCATATATCCGGTGCGTTCGATCGTTATGAGCTCGGGTATACCCCCTCGTAGTAACAGGTGGGGCCCACGCGGAACCGGCTCGTCCCCGATGGCTGATGTGACTTGAGCTCACGTGTGCACAGTGCATCTAAGGTTTTCCCGTTCACATCGTCTCGACTTGTTAATGCCGATGGCGATGTGACCGGATTAATTAATTGTGGATATAAGATTTTGATAACATGGTCGAAAAATGGTGAGAAATAGATTGAACAATAAAAATTACGGTAGCATATCGCGAGTTGTGAATATCGTGTAAAATGCTTTGTTGTTAGATGTAGCAAAAATTGAATGTATTCTCTTGATGGATGTCGTCTCGACATATTTTCCAGCACGTATTGGCCGCCCTAATTCAGACTTTCAAATTGGGCAATTTGTTTTTTTTAAAGATCCAGGAATCCCATTTGGATGGGTAAAATTCCAAGCTAGTGATTTACCCTACTAATCTTGTGAGCTAAGTATGATGCAAATCAAATGGGATTGGACGGCTCAAACAAAAAATACGATGTAAACAGTTCAGCCTATAATGCATGTGTACGTTACGCACCTATCCTTAGCACTAAGCCCATCCACAAGGTTCTAATCGCGTTAAATTGCACGTGAGATTCACGCAAATTGGACTTAGTACCGTGGATTTTTCCACACATGGTCCCAAATTAGCTTAAATTAGGTGATTAATACAGGAGGGACCACACGTCCAAAATGGATGATTGAGGTCGAATGACCTTTACTTGATGAAGCAATGAGCTTGATAGAAACTGCAAATGGGGATTGGGTTTGGTGAGAGAAAGCACCCGTCGTTCTCCCAGAACCGTCCCGCGGTTGTTGGTCCTTGACTCTCTCCAATTTATGAAGGGAATAATCGCTCTCCAATCCTCCGTGACCAGCGGGTTAGAGCTTCTGTCTTCACTGCCGTCCGTTCCCGCCGGACCTCTTTAAGGGGTAATGTGTCCCAGTCAGTTTAGCGGGCCCCGAGCTACGGTATGTTGACCGCTCGGCGGCTTGTGCAGGTCCGGAAAATTTATGGATTCTTGGGATGAGTATGTTTGAGGGAAAGTATTTTTTAATAATACGTTTTTCAGATTTTTATTTATTTAACTCGCGCCAAAATGATAAGTCAACTGAAAATATTTTCCGATCAAGGAAAAAATTCATATATAAATAAAGGAAAGTGAATTACCTAATTTAAAAAGGTGAAAATACTTTTCGGAATTGCTAATCTTGAATTTGTTGATATCTTTTCTTTCTTTTCATTCTTTTTTTTCTTTTTCTTTTCTTTTTGAGGGTGACGATCAGAAATAATTTAAAATAATTAAAAAAATATAATTTTTTTTATAATTTTCACTATCATATTTTCCTCACTAGACAACTGAAAATACTTTCCAAGCCTTTTTTAGGTTTTAGCCAAATACCGAAAAATAAAATCATTTTCCTGAAAAGTATTTTCCAAAAATGGTACATTTTCTATGAAATAAACGCACCCTTAGACTCCATTTGTTTCGCAAAAAATAAATGATTTGAAAAAAAAATTTCTAAAAATAATAGCTTATATCTCTTACAAAAACTAATGAATGAAAAACATTTTCATCGTTTACAAAAATATTTAGACATAATTTGTTGATAATGAAATACTTTTCACTAGCTAATTAATTCAAGCAACAGTAGACGATCATTTTTAGAAAGATATTTTTCAAATTATTTATTTATTTCCAGTGAAACAAATGAAGCCTCGAGATTCGTGAGGTTCACACTTCTAACTTGTTATTTTATCGACAATTTTTTAAAAAAATTGACCTCAACTAACGTGATTACAAACAATTATTAGTTTTTACTTGAACTAGTTAATGATGTTTATTTTTTTATATTGTGAATTTCTACTATCTTTGACAAAGAAAATTCTTTCATTTGTTGCCAACTTTTATTTACATTTCTCGCCAACGTTTTAAATTTATTAACTATTGTATGAAATTATCAACCTTCTAATGTGCTAACAAGCTTTTCTTTGATTAAGTCACTAACTGATTTTGTATTGCCAGCTCTCATTTGAGTTGCTTATTAAGATTTTTTTTTTACAAAAAAATTACTAAAATTGTAATTGAATTACTAGTTTTTGCTTGTCTTACTCATGATTAAGTTACCAATTAGTTTTGCATTGTCAACTCTTATTTGATGTAGTTGCCAACTTAATTTGTTTTTTTTTTTTGGTCGAAACCAACTTAATTTGTTTAAAATGCTAAATTTTGTTCATCTTTTTTCACCAATGCTTTAAGTTTTGAACATTACACGAAATTACTAACATTTATTTGAGTGATTTACCAAAATTTTTCCTATCAAGTTACCCCGCAGAATGGCTAGTAATTTTTTTTAAAAAGCTACATAAAAAATTGGTAGTAAATCAAGTAAAAGTGGAAAACTTAGAACTAATCAATAACTTAATCGGAAAAAGTTTATATGTCACTTAAATTAAATTGGCAATGTTATATAAGAGTTGGTAAATATAAAACGTAGCTAAAAAGATAAATAAAAGTCGGTAAAAAATAAGAAAAGTTGCTAAGTAAAAGAAAGATAAACTTGCTAAATGACACAGGTGAAAGTTAGTAACTCGACATCGGTAATTTAACATTGATAAGTAACTGAACGAGAGTGTAATCCAAAACTAGCCGGTAATTGATACGACAAGAGTTAAAGATTTCATATAAGAGTTAGTATATTCAAAGTATTAGTGAGGTTTGCAAAATAAAAGTTTGAAAGTTAGTATGAGACTCGGTGATTTGCAAACTATAAGTTGATAATTTCATAAAGTATGGGTAAGTTAGTAAGTTCTCAACGAGTTATTTTGAAAAAAAGAAGAGTCATTGATTAGTTTTTCTACTAACATTTTTTTGAGACTCACCAACTTTTATTGAAGTTTGTCAATACAGAAAAATCCATATTTTTAGACACCGAACGATAAAATCCTGCTTGGTAGCATTATTAATGCAAGTTCCGCATAAGCTATAAGTTAGCTTTTTAATATGTTTAGAGGAACTTACGCCTCTTTAGGTTGCTTTCAATGTTACTTTTGATTGGGCACTTGATAACCGAGACCTAACATCGTCACCTTTCTTTCATCGCGAGACACCTCAAATCTTTAGAAGCTCTCAAATGTAGATATTTAAGGTCATATAGGTGCTGGACTTTCAACTTTATTGTCACTAGATTTCCTATTTTGAAATTCAAATAACTTTTTTTTTTGTCATACTTTAACTCTCAACTCACTCTTAGACTTTTGCCCTATCTCTTGCAGGGCATTAGAGTCAAAACCCAGATCTGAAACTATACGTCCCCATCCTTAATCCCCCTGAAAATGTGAGAATTCAAACTCCCCACCTCTCCCTTATTTGTATTGATAAATTTTGAAGGGAAAGCTAAGTTTTGACTTTTTAAAGCAAAACCAAACAAGCTCAGTTTACATTTTCACATTTAATTAATCTAGTGAGTAAGTTACATCAGAGAGGCAAGTCTATGTTTCTTAATAGGGATATGGCGGGGCAGGTACAGGGTCGCATTCTCGTCCTCGCCACGTGCCCCGCACGGGTCATATTTATGCTGCTCATCTCCAATTCTAGTGGCTATGCAAATTTCTTAGGCCCATACACCCCATATATAATAACGTCTAGCTTAAAAGTTTTTGATAAAATTCTTCCACGAGCATAACTTAATTTATGCAATAAGTACTGGAAAAATTTTGCAAGTTAAATAAATAATTTATGGGCAAAATAACACGAATTTGGAATTCTTAGATCTAAAATCATAGAGTTTAGTTTGGAAATTCTCCATGAAAAATGACGAGAAAAGGGAATAAATTATTGAAAGTATTATGTTAATATTAGGATCTTCGCGGGGAATAAGAAACTTTATATGATCAAATATATGACTTACATAAAAGAAACTAGATTAATATAAGAAATCTCCAAATTTAAATCTTTCAATAATAATCTAGTTCGTTAGTTACGGGTTTTATTTTTCCTTTTGGGAAGAATTAACACGGATATCTCGTGGAGTGGGTAAAATCGACTTCCCTATTTTTGGAGAAATAATGGTGAAGCGTATTAAGCGATTCAAGAAAGACAATAAACTTGATATACTTATATATTTCTCTCTATTGTATGATGTGAAACTTTTCCCACCAACAAGCATTATGTATTCATATTTCGACTTATGTTTTAATCGATGTATGAAATCAGAGGGATATATTTATATATATATATATATCTAAGTCAAAATCACAATTTGTTTCAACTTTTACTTTCTAAAATTGCCCTTGCTGTATAATACCATTCATTGAGTAACCACCCACTTTCTTTGTCTCGATTTTTACTTTCCAAAATTACCCTTACTAGGTATAATGTGAGCGACCAGCCACTTTCTTTTTATGCGAATATAACCACATTTTCTTCTCATTTTTCACGAGTGTCGATGTGATCTAAAAATATTACATAAGTATTTAACCTATATATTTTTATATATACGAAGGTCTTGTTTCATTCCTAGAATGATTTCACTAAATCAACGCAGCAAATACAATTCACAACATCATCTTTAAAAGGAATTGCGAGTGCATGAGAACTACTATTATTTCCTCAATATGAATTTTATTCGCCTACTATATAGGGTTTCATATTATTAAAAACAAAAGGAGGAAAAATATATCTTCTGCCATAAGAACGAAGATTAGCCTC